TTTTCTTTCATTTTACTTACTCAGTGTATTGTGGTCTGTGTGAATGCCTTGTATGACAGATGTTCTGAGTAACAGTTCAACGTCAGAACCTATTTTCATGAGCTGTTAAGAAATCCAAACAAACAGAATAAATCTTTTGAGCATTTCATATGAGTATACTATTTTTGCAAACTATAGTTTTATTCCTTTTATTTACTTTCTTTTTGGTTTTTCTGAGACAGGGTCTCACTATGTAGTCAGACTGGCCTTGAATTTACCATGCAGCCCTGACTGGCCTCAAACTCATGAAGATCCTCCTGCCTCAGCCTCCTGAGTGCTGGGATTACAAGCATGAACCACCACACCTGGCTTACAATTCCACAGTTAAATAATACTGTTTTTAACATTTTGCAGTTAACCCAAGCAGTATAGAAAGCCCAAGTATACATATGTATAATTTTAACTTGTGTCTGTCCATTTCATATTTTGTCTCAAAATAGATTTAGAGTATCTTTGTTATAACGTGTATTTTTAATTGTATTTAAATGCATATTCCAAACTGGGTGTGGTGGCGCACGCCTGTAATCCCAGCACTCAGGAGGCTGAGGCAGGAGGATCGTTGCGAGTTTGAGACCTTCCTGGGCTACAAAGTGAGCTCAAGGCCAGCCTGCACTGCATAGCGAGACCTTATCTCAAAAAGACAAAAAAAAAAAAAGGCATATTCCAGAGGGAGGCGTTTGCAGCATTGGGGACTGAACCCAGGGCCTCGCACATACTTGGCAAGTGCTCTCCCACTGAGCTACATCCACGCCCTGACCCCGCTGAGCAGGACGATGTTTTATAAACGAGAAGTACTGGCTCTGGACTCAGAGCGGCTGGAGTCCAGCTCGGGCTCTGCCGGCGGGGTGTGGCCGTCAGCTAAGCACCTGCTCCCTCAGTTTCAGACCTCGCCCAATGCAAGATGAAGCACCGGCCCAACAGTGGCTCTCCAAGCTCCGAACCCAGAGCGGCGCTGAGATCCCGGCAGGCACCCTTGAGGTCAGAGTTACAGCCAGAGCACGGGGCCCTCCCGGTTTGCACGGTAAGCAGAGGCGGCGCTTTCTCTGTGAGTGCAACCTTTTATGTGACAGAGCTGACAAGCTGATTTTTCAGATGCATCTGGCACTTTCTTCACCATGAATGCAATGAGTGCGTCGCCGAAGGAGAACAGTATTTACTGACAATGACAAAATGGAAGCTTTCAAGCAAAAACTGGACTTCTGGAGAAATCGTGTCTACTACAGTGAGCTTGAGAACATTACAATACTTCAGCAATTTTCTGATGAAATGGATATTAATACTAACAGGTCTGATTTTAAGATACAGTATCACATAATGAACTATGTCAACATTTGGGGGCCAGAGATATAGCTCAGTGGCACAAGCACCTACGTGGTAAGTGCAATGTCCTGAGTTCGATTTCTGGTACCAAAAAAAGAATTTGGAAGACCTGTATTCCTTAGTAAACCTGCATTTCCCAAATCAGCCGGGTGCGGTGCCGTGGTCATGTATGGGTAAACCCCACTGAAAGGGAGGGGCCCGCCAGTGCTGATGGCGAGGACAGGAAGTGGCGAAGCTCTTCTGGGTGTATTTTTTTCTTTTTTTCTGTCTTTTTAAGACAGGGTCTCACTATGCAGTTCAGGCTGGCCTTGAGCTCACTTTGTAGCCCAGGCTGGTCTCGAACTCGCAATGATCCTCCTGCCTCAGCCTCCCGAGCACTGGGCTTACAGGCGTGTGCCACCACACCCGGCTTTTCTGGGTGTATTCTGAAGTCGGAGTCAGTAGGGTCTGTCACAGGTGGGACAGGAGACGGGAGAGCAGTACGGGAAGTGTGTGCCACAATCTTTGGTCTGAGCATCAGGGCAGCGGGGTCTCCCGTCCTGACACCTGCGAGGGGCCTGGCCGGCAGTGAAAGTAGAGAAGCGGGCCTCTCCCAGTGCAGGTGCACAAGCTGTGTCAAGTCCTGGATGTCAGGCCGGAGACGAGGCTGTGGGGAAGCGGGGTTGGGACGAGCGGAAGGTCTGTGGGAACCTAGAGCCAGAATCATCACCGTCCACTGGTCTAACATAACAGAGTTGCATAGCATAACCTTGAAGACATTACCACTTGGCAGACTAGGCTATCAAAGAATATTCACAATCATCTGAAAAGCCTATTAGATACTTCTACCTTTTTCTTGTTTTTTTTTGTTGTTGTTGTTTTGAGACAGGGTCTTACTATGTAGCCCAGGCCAGCCTCGAACTCACAGCAATCCTCCTGCCTCAGCCTCCTGAGTGCTGGGATTACAGGCGTGCACTATCACACCCGGCTACTTCTACACTTTTGTAACTACATATGTGTGTGAGGCTGAATTTTCTTCATATACTACAACCTAACAAACATACTATACTAAAGAAGGGATAAGAATTTAGCTGACTTCCATGGAGCCAGATATTCTTTTTTTGTTGTTGTTGTTTTTTTTGTTTTGTTTTTTTTTGGTTTTTCTCAGGTACCGGGAACCGAACTCACGACCTTGCACTTGCCAGGCAGGCACTTTGCCGCTGAGCTAAATCCCCAGCCCCGGAGCCAGATATTAAGATTTATACTGGGAATGGTGGCCCATGCCTGTAGTCCCAGCTACTTGGGAGGCTGAGGCAGGAGGACTGCACATTTGAGACCAGCCTGGGCAACTCAGCAAGACTTTGTCTCAAAAAAAATAATGATAATAATTTTGGGGGGGCCCGGGAGGATGGCTCGGCAGCACAGTGCCTACTTGGCAAGTGCAAGGTCCTGAGTTCGATTCCCAGTACCAAAATAATAATAATAATTTTTTTCTTTTAGCGTTACAGATGCAGTTCAGCACTACAATGCTTAGCTAGCATGTGCAAGGCCCTAAATTCAATCCTTAGAACTGCAATTTAAAAAAAGAGATTTAAAAAAATATAAATAATGTCACTCTTTCCAATTGTTCTTTGATTTTTTTTTTTTTTTTTTTTTTGTCTTTTTGAGACAGGGTGTCGCAATGCAGTTCAGGCTGGCCTTGAGCTCACTCTGTAGCCCAGACTGGTCTCAAACTCGCAACGGTCCCCCTGCCTCAACCTCCCAAGTGCTGGGATTACAGGCGTGCGCCACCACGCCCGGCCCAATTGTTCTTTGAAAACATAACTTTTTTCATAAAATTGTATTATTTCTTCCCATACAATGGGTTTATTATTATTTTAAAATGAATTAACAAATACATTTTCTAAATTCTCAGATTAAATTCCTAATATAATACCGATTTAAACATCTTTCTAGGGCTAGGGATATAGCTCGGTGGCATAAGTGCCTGCCTTACAAGAGCAATGTCCTGGGGCTGGGGATTTAGCTCAGCAGCACAGCACCTGCCTGGCAAGTGCAAGGCCGTGAGTTTGGTTCCCGGTACCTCAAAAAAAAACAAAAAAAACAAGTGCAACGTCCTGAGTTTGATTCCCAGTACAAAAAAAAAAAAAAAAAAAAAAAAAGAAGGAAAGAAAAAAGAAAAACAGCTTTCTAGGGGTTGGGGAGATAGCTCAAAGGCACGGTGCTTGCCTGGCAAGCGCGAGGTCCTGGGTCCCATTCCCGCTTCCAAAAAAAAAGAAAAAAGAAATGAAGAGCTTTCTAGGGTCCTCAATTCTAAGAGCACAAAGGCATGTTGAAACTGCCAAGTTTGAGGACTACTGTTCTACTGGCACCTTGATTTCATGAACTCCCTATTACATGAGGGTGTCACTATTTAAGAAGTACTAAATACTCAAGTGCAGAGTATTTAGAAAGAGTTGTAGGAAGTACAAAATATACAGTCTATAAATAACAGATAGGGCCCAGGATATACCTCAGCGGCACAGTGCCTGCTTGGCAAATGCAAGGTCCTGAGTTCAATTCCCGGTACCAAAAAAAAAAAAAAAAAGATATCCCTTACGTATGAAATTAATGTACTATAAGTAAAATGAATATGGGAGATGGTTTACTTCCACAGTTTAGTTGATATAAACTGATCTCAATTTTCAAAAATTATTTCTTTGAATTGGGTCTTGCTGTGTTGCCCAGGCCGGTCTCCAACGGTTTTTTGGTCTTTTTGAGACAGGGTTTCACCATGCAGGTCAGGCTGGCCTTGAACTCACGGTGATCCTCCCGTCTCAGCCTCCCAAGTGCTAGGATTACAGGTATGTGCCACCATACCCAGTCGATCTCCAACTCTTGAGTTTAAGCAATTATCCTGCCTCAGCCTCCCAAGCAACGAAGTCTACAGGCATGCACCTGTAAGCCTGACTCGGTTGAAAAATCTTTCATCATAATTTCAAAATTTAAAAATAATTACCAAAATGTTATTAATCAATCCATTGAAGAGAAAATCATACAAACCTCCTGATACATCTTTTAACTTCTCTTCACATTATGAGTTGATTACACATTCATTTTAACTTCTGCCATAAATAAATGTATACACCATTTGTCCTACCATATCTTTAAGCAAAATCTCTCCCTTTTTTATATTATAGAGGTCGAAATAGGTTATATCAGTTTATCTCATTAGATAAATTATTACAAGCACTCTTTCAAAAATGGTATTTTAGCCAGGCATGGTGTGCATGTGCTGCCGAAGCGAGCACACAGCCAGGCATGATGGTGACGCTGTCAGTGCCAGCTACTTGAGGGCTGAGGCAGGAGGACCACAAATTCCAAGGCCAACCTGGGCAACTTATCAAGAGCCTGTGGCAAACAAAATTAAAAATAGTAGCAAGTATTGTCTGACCTACTGCTTCAACAAACCAGAAGAAAAGCAATTATATGAGTTAATACAAAGACTTCAGCTAACCAAAAAAAAAAGGGGCTGGGATGTGGTTCAGTGTTCCCTGAATTCACTCCCCAGTACCCCACCAAAATATCCTCTACTAATATAAATTCATTCTTACCAGATTTTCAAATTCATGGAAATTCTATTCAGCATAGAAGACATTCTCCTAACTTGTGCCTTTCTTTTTCCCAAACCAATTTTTAGAATGGTAACTGCCCCTGCAAATAGTTTTCTGTTTTTCATTTTCTTTCTAAGGTCCCTTTTCCTACTTCCATACAGCTAACACAGGAAGCTCAGGACGGGGGCAATACTCATAGGCGAGAACACACACTGTACAGCAAAGGAATCATCATATATTTTCTCAGTGACCATCTCTTAAGTGCAGCTCACAGACTGGCATCAGCAGAGTGTCTTCAAGTACGGCAAGTGCCGAGTGGTTCAGCGGGTCTGGCTCCAACCGTGGCTACTCCACGTGCTTCTATCGCCTGGCTATGGACAGATGGGCGTGAGGGGCTGGGCCACGCCTAACCAGCGAGGGCGGCCCACCGCGTCAGCGCTCAGCGCCAGGCCCGACATACCCCACTACTTTCACCATTTCCTCTTTGCCAACATAACTTTACCAGTTTTATTGGAACTAAGAAATTCAGCTACTGTACCTCTTCTATTTTCTTAGGAGAAGTCTCACTTTTATTACTTTTGAATTCTTCATTAATCTTTATCCTGGCTGCTAGAGAGAGAGAAAAAAATGTACAGTTATTTGTTCTCCTAATTTATAATTCCCATCACAATAATTTACATGTCATTCTTTATTAATTCCTACTTCTCTAGCATAGGTTTGCTCTCATGTAAAACAAAGCATTAAAACATGTATTGAGTCTCTTGGAGAGCTTTTGATAGGCTAGGAAATTTATTAAAAGGAAGGGAGGGAGGGAGAGAGGGAGGAAGGAAGGAAGGAAGGAAAAGAAAGAGAAAGAAACTTTTAGCATTGTAGTATTTTCGTATCCCAGCACTGGGGAGGAAAAGGCAGGAGGATCGCTGTGAGCTCAAGACCAGCCTAGGCTACACGGTGACTTCAAGGCCTGCCTGGACAACATAGTCAGAACTTGTCTCAAAAAATTTTTCTTTCTTACTCTTAATTCCATTTGGGTATCTATAGCTACTGAAATCTAATAAATCCAAATTAACGCTTTATACACAAGGTCTAAGGATTTATATTAAATGATTTAAGATGGCAAAAAATACAACTGTGTTAAACTATATATGCACATACAAAGATATAGATATATAAATATCTCTCTATATAAACATCTCTCTCTCCATATATATATACATGAAATCTTGCCTGATACTGATATCCTTGTCACTTGTAATGCAAGCGACAAAACATCTTATAGACACCACCGAGACTTCAGTATCACAGCAGCAAAATTTAGTCTCCTACGACCAGCCTTAGTGTGTTGTGGCATTTGTGGAACAATCAAGCACTTGGTAAATGTGCAATAAATGCTAGCTGTTAAAACTGTCCCACTCACGAAGTGTACAGCAACAGCCATGCTGTGTGGTAGCGGACAGCCGAACAAGCTCCCTTCTGGGCTGCCGCATTGCAGTACGAGAGCCTGGGCTTGGGAATCAGCCCCAGCTCCCCTTCTCCCTAAGCATGACGTGTACGGAGAACCTCTCCGTATGTGTCAGTTTTCTCATCTGCAAAACTAGGAATTATAATAGCAACTAGTTGGTAAAGCTGACACGGGACCTGAAACAGGGATCTGTGTGACGCCCACACAGCGTACGTGCCTTCGCATGTAAGTTATTTCTGCTAGTACAGAAGCCTGAGTCCTTGGGGACAGTGCGGACACCTTCCCAGCGGCCTCGGAGGTCCTGGGTGGTACGAAGAGCAGGGCTGGACAGGACGGACGCTGAGCCCAAGGTTCCAAGCGGCGGCTTCGCAGTGGGATAGGACTCCCCGAACGGGGCCCTGCGGAATTGGGCCGCACTCAGGCTACCGTCTCCGCGACAGCTGCTGCCAGCTCCAGACTGACTCGGCACACTCACAATACCTACTGTCTGGCCCTAGAGGGAGTGAGCACTCTCGTACTTAACAGAGAAACGGGTCTCCCGGCTGGCACGCAGGCGAGCAGGGGAGAACACCGACATTGATTCTCATCGCTCCTCTATTAGCCGATGTGTTTGTCCGAGACAGGTTCTTACCACCTAGTCCAGGTTGGCCGAGAACGCCCTGTGATCTTCCTGCTTCGGCCTCCTCAGTGTAGGGATTACTGATATGCACCACCACGCCCAGTTTATTTGTTGGTTCTTTATAAGAACTGGATCTTTTACATTTTTGGTGCAAGCTAATCTTTATAAAATACTTCAGGGGGCAGTAAAGGTTATTCCCTGAAATGGTCTTCACCCCACAGGCAGGGTTTCTCGGGACAGCAGCTAGCTATAGAACGGACTTGCTGCAAAGGGGAAAAACAGATATATTTGTTTACCTTCTAAAGCTCTGGCATCATTTTTAAAAACTTGTTGTCTAGTCCTGTGCAGTGTTTTAAAGAGCTGTAAAACCTGCTAAGAAAACCAATTCAGACCTTGTAAGAAAAAAAATGCACAATTCACATCATTGTATTATAAGGATTAAACAGTATTCAAACAGTACTCTTTTTCTGTTTGTTTCTCAAACTATTTTTCAGATTATGTCACGAACACCAGGGGTTGCCAAAGTAACTCCCTGTATGATTTATTTTAAGTTTCAAAACTTTCAGGCAGTGGAGGATAGCTTGGTGGTACGGCAAGTGCTTAGATTTGATCCCCCAGCAAAAAAAACAGACAAAAAAGCTATTTAAAAAACTTAATAATTCTGCCAAAAGGGGTTGGGGATTTAGCTCAGTGGTAGAACACCTGTCTAGCAAACTGGAAGTCCTGGGTTCGGTTCTCAGCACCAAAAACAAAAGCTAAACAAACTCATCTAAAATACAAAAAATCAAAAAAAAAAAAAAAAAAAAAAAAGAAAGAAAAGAGACCGAAAAAATCTAGGCAAATAATTCTGCCAAAAAACATTGCTAGGGTTATAGGCATGCACACAGCTCCCGGCTACAAACTTATTTAACAGAGCCCAGAAAGAAGATGCTTCAGGTAATTAATCCATGTTTAACTGCAATTTCTCAGAAGACTGGAATGCTCAGATTTAGGATTATCCTGGGCCAGGAGTGGTGACGCACACCTGTAATCCCAGCACTTGGGAGGCTGAGGCAAGAGGATCACTGAGTTCAAGACCAGCCTGGGCTACAAACTGAACTGCATAGGGAAACCCTATCTCAAACTCCTCCTGCCTCAGCCTCCTGAGTGCTGGGCTTGGGTCTCTATTTTATTTTTACTTTCTTTATTTTGTGGTGCCTCAGCACTGCAGTACATGCCCAGCCTGCTTCTGCAGTGCCAGTTCCTGAAGGACTTTTGTTTCCTCAAACCAGAAACCTGCAGGTCATCCTTAAGACACCCGCTCTCCATGCGGAGACTTGGAGATGTCTCTCCAATCATTTCATGTCCCCCAGCCCAGAAACTATTTAGGTTCACACGATCTCCATCTCCTCCAAAGGTCTTTCTGCCACCATCCCTCCTTCACTCCAAATAGTCTCCCAGTAACCTGACACTCACCAAGCACACTC